ACTCCAAACATTTATATCTGTACCTCAGAAGACAAAGGTTGGTTGTCCAGTTTTTTGTGAAAATGAGTTATGTTTGAGACCTTTTTAGTTTTTTCAGTATCTACAATACTGTTGTCCTCGACAATGTAAAACAAAGTTTTTTTTACATATTTATTTTTTACTTTTTAGCCCATTTTAAAAATTTGATTAGTGTAGTACATACATTAAACAAAATTTTTTGATTAGTGTAGCACATTCATTAAATAAAAATTGATTGGTTCAGTACATTTATTAAATAAAAATTGATTGTTGCAGTACATTCATTAAATAAAAATTGATTGGTACAGTGCATACATAAAATAAAATTTGATTTGTGTAGTACATGCATTATTTAAAAAAGATACTAAAATTATTTTAAAAATACTTTTGAACGTCCCACTTCTCTCCATTCTCCCCTATTTATAAATATATTTCTTATATATTATATTTAATTTTTATACTATAATTTTTTATTTTGTAAATTTATCTTTTTATCTCAAAATATTTATTATTAAAAATATTTTTAATTTCCAAAAAATAAACTAATACAACGTATCTTTATATAATTAATTAAATAAACTTTAAGCACTAGAGGCCTATCAAAAAATCATCAGTAGTGCTGTTTTGGTATTGTAGCAAGATTTTTGTATACAAATAAAAATAATTTTAATTGCATATTGTTGCTATGAGCAGACCCATCTTTAGGTTATCCTGGCCTCGCAGCGAAATAACGGTTGTGGTGTCTCCAGACCCCCCTTCCCTTCCCTAAAAAAAAAGTATCTGTTTTTCAAGTCGATTTTTTTTTATATGCTAATATATTGCTAATTAAAACTACTGCATTATCCAAAAACGAACAAGTAAATGCTAGCGCTGAAAGTCATTTTTTTTTTGTCTACTATTAGAATTGTAGCAATTTCCTTTTTTTTCAATAGCCTTTTTAAAATTTAAAAAAGATTTTTTTCTGTTACAATTTGTAACAGCAGCAGATGTAACAGCAGCACCTGAATTGGGAACATTTAAAACTGAATTGGGAAAAAAGTTTTTGTAATGCAGTTTTTTATTCAGAATATAAATGTCCGCATCGTTTAAGTAAATTTTAAAAAAATTCTTTAGCGCATGCTGTGATCACAACAGAATCCATATCTAAAAGACAGACAAAGAATCCAAAACAAGAGAAGTATAAGCTTGTATTCACCTTTCAATCTCAGCTACAAGTTGATCCATGGTGATCTGAAATTATAACCTCAGAAACCATATTTCTTTTCCTAATAAGGTTCAATTACATTTTGGTGGGAACGTTGACAGGTATAAACATGTTTGTCAAATCTATTAGTTGATAAGCCAGTTCTGCAACTAGAAATATGTCCGTTTATTAGTAATCTTAAATTGATAGTTTTTCCAGTATATGTGGTTGTTTTTTGCATGCGAAACATTTAAGGTAATAAATTACATTTTTGCTGTTGCATGTGAAGTGACTTTTTATTTTCCAGATAGTATCATTAGAAGTTTCAAACTCATCTACTTCTTGAAGATAGAGTTTGCATATTTTACACCGAATGTTTTTGCATTTAATTATGCCAATCTTTTTATTATTTGCTTCAACTTTTGAGGAAGTATGTCTTCTTAGTAACTTAGGAGGTTGTTTAAAAACTAATACCGGATGAATATTAGAAAAAACATTTTTGACTCTTTTATTATGAAAAACTTTCATTATGAAAACTTTAAATGGAAATCTAGTAATTTCTATGTAATTCCTAAAATTTACAATGCCAAGAAATCATTAATAAGGTAAAAGAGTCCGACTCTTTATTTATTGAAGTAAAACCACCAAAAGATCTTAAAGGTAGACCAATTACTGCCGGAATAAGTTGCTTTTATTTATATTTACTTAACATACAGTAACATTGCTTATGCAAGTGCTAATCATAAAAAACTAAAAAAGCTTTACAGTAAACAAAAGCTTGCATTTCGAATTGTATTTGGAGCTAAGAGAAAAGAACCTTGCAAACCTCTCTTGTGTTTAATTGAAGAAATAGTTTTTTTTTGTATTTGTTTTTATTCCAAAAGCAGCTTAAAAATGATCCCATTTTTCTAGATCTATTTTCAATATCATCACTCACTAGTTTATTTTCATTTTCTTTTATTATCATTGAAAAGCTTGACCTGTCTTTTAGAGGGAGGATAGCAATGCACAACAGCTGATCTCTCATGACTTGTGGGATGCCCGTATCCCTCTGAGTGAGCACCCACAACGACCCAGTGGGCACCCGACGTCAATCCGACGTCGGATTTACGTACGATTATGTCAAAAGACCTATTGCGACGTTGTTCCGATGTCAGTAAAATGACGTCGGGCGATGTCTTTATCTCAACATCCCCTGACGTCGTTTCGATGTATTTTGACGTTGTTCCGACATCTTATATAAGACGTCCAAAAAACGTCGCAGTACTGACATCGATCCAACGTCGATAAAAAGACGTCGGGCAACGTCATAATATTAACGTACTCCGATGTCTTTTGACGTCTTCCGACGTCAATCCAACGTCCTTAAAACGACGTCGGAACAACGTCGTAAGACATCGCTGATGAAAATTTAATCCAAACCCAACAATATGTGTGTAATTGCGCTCTTCAATAAATATGTGAACTAAGCGTGTCTTTTATTAATGGAAAGAAGTTTGAATAATGGTTGATAAAACATCATGAGGTTTTGTATGATGCACTAGCATAGTTTTTTAACTATTAACATTTTCGAGTATACATTTTTCATAATATATATATTTATTCGTTTTAATATTTATATAATATTTAAACAAAATTATTTCTTATCAAAGTAATAATTCCTAAATAGCTACAAGTATAAATTACTAAATAAACTTATAAATTAATATGTCTCTGTGGTGGAGTGGTGAGCGCGTAGGATTTAGTTTCTAGTAGACCGAGGTTCGATTCCTGCCTAAGTCAACGTTTTTTAGTTTTCAAAAACACGTTGGATTTACATCGGAATGCCGACGTCGCGCGATGTCAGTTTATCCGAAGTCAAATAACATTTCCATTTCCAACGTAAACCCAACGTCGATCCGACGTCGAGATCCGACGTCGCTCGACGTTCGTTCGACGTCGAAATGCCCACTGGGGAATGCTTTAAATGTCTTCCTGATATTGCGAGTTTTGAGTGGGGTGAACGCCTTGAATCTATTTCAGAATCGCATTTGCAGTCGTCAACAATAAAAACACACCGCTAACCCGCCATTATTTTTAAAAGTATTTTAATTATGCCTTGCACACCGCACCTCTCAATCCAATCAGGGGGCATTAAGTAAAAGTCTGGTACTTTAACCCGTGGGCTTTCTAGGTAAGTCCGATTCTACAACATCGTAGGACATATTAAGATTATAATAGCATTTTCTTGCACACGCTTAAGTAGGCTCAATATTAACGCCCGTCTTTCCTGAATCTGTTGGTCTACGCAAAGAAATTTTTATCTTTCTATTAGAAAGAAGTATATTATAAAGTATTCATCTCAAAATGAAAAACACGTATTCACCTGCACTCATACCATCGCTGCTAGATCCATGTCAGTTTGTTCACATGGTGTGGAGTAATGAATTTGAGCGGGTCCAGCTATTTTGCTTTAACTATGTTGTAACCGAGCGTTGGCTCAGCAAAATTGGATTCTTCAATCCAGAGTGTAATGTGTCGCAGGAGCAGTATAAAGCAGTTTCTGACATACTTGGTTTAAATTTTGGTGTCGAAGTAAAAATGGCAAACGTACATTTAAAGTAATGCTGTGAATAGGCATACGAAACACTCACGAAGTGAATCGTTAAAAATGACCTCCGGCGGTTACTACAAAAAACAAGCAATTGACGTACTCTACCACAGCGCTATTGCTGGCGTTAATACAGTAGGGTTATCCATCGCTACTCAAAAATTAAAAATTGCACAAAAAATAGAGCTTGCATTTGATATGAAAGACCTTGGAAACTTTGGAGTTTATCTTGTTGCCGGTGAAGTAACCCGCCAACGCCTCGTTGACATGGGGTAAATACCTGTTAGTTTCATGCCAAAGTATTCAATTGAATTAATGCACTTCGCTAGTATACAAAATGGCAATGGCCATTTTATCTATGCTTGGCGAGGCTATTGCAAATGTCTTTGCGTTTATCGGCGGCTCGAACCTTGCAAAAACCCTCTCTGGTGAAAGCAAAGAAATTAAAAGGCTTAACAAAGCAATGGATAAGCTTCAAAAAACTCAGCAGGAGTTTAACCAAAAACGGGTTGAGGCGATTGATAAATTAATGCGCACCTTGCTGCCGAGGGTGCCGCTAAAGCACGCTTAAACAATTACGTTTAGGCTAGCCGCCTTTACCGTGAGATGGCGACTTTTACACACCATCCGAAATACGGCGAACTTATGAATACCGCCATATACAGATTAGTGTTTTAGCCGGCGCAGGCGTTAGGTGGTACTTTTTTTTTGTTTTTATTTAATTTTTATTTTATTTTGCTGTTTATATAAATTACAATTTCCTTTCACCAAAAATAAAATATAATTACAAATGTACAAGTAATAAACAGTCAGGGGCTCAAAGAAGATATGGATGGCAAAATACCAACCTAATCTTTTCATAGAGCCCCTACAGATCAAAATAATAGTATATGGTAATATATGGTTAATAAATCAAGTAGAAAAATTAGGAAAAAAAAAAAAGAAATAGTAAAAAAGAAGATATAATATTTAAGAATAAAAATAGAGAAAAAAGAAGATGTATCAATTAAAAGTAAAAACACCCTCAATTAGTCAAAAAAGAAGATATAATATTTAAAAATACATATAGAGAATAAAGAACATATAGTAAAATATATATATATATATATATATATATATATATATATATATATATATATATATATATATATATATATATATATATATATATATATATATATATATATATATGCATATATACATACATACATCACTTCTCGGCCTAATGGCTAAGATCAAGTGTAGTATCTGTTCTTGATTTTAGTTCATTTGGGCGAGCTAGTGGTCCTAAAGTGTATATAGAAGGTCTACTGGCTTTCAGAGTGTTTGTATAAGAGTTACCTTGCCTCATCCACGGGTTGCTAAGGTGTGCGTTTTTTTGTTAAAAAAGTCTACTGGCT